TTCTTAGGTTACTTCTTTGAGTTCTTCAGTAGGCTTGCCTGCTTTACTCATTACCTTGGATGCACATTCAGGCAAATCAATTTTGCATTTTATTTAACTTAATTAAATTTGATTCTGGGGGTTAACCCCTAAGGCATGCTAGGTAAGTATTCACCTTTGGTCTATATCGCTAGCCCTGTGTTTTATTTTATTTGGACTTTTAGGTTGTTTTTGATGAAACCTCTGATCATCTGATAGCCATTCCATCCCATGATGATTCTGATACCAATGTCATGTGGGGTGTTTTAGTAGCACAGTAAGTAGTGTTTTGAAACTGTTGAATTCAACCCAAGAGAAAGGGAACTTCCCTCTAAACATCAAAGATTAGTTTCCTAACTTTGTGAATGTTGCACTCTGAATTGAACAATTCCATTATGAATTGTAAATTATAGATGCTGTCATGAATTGTAAATTTGGAAGTACATTATCTAATGCTTACATAAGCAAGGACACTCCTCAGTGTTCTCCAGTCACCGTCTATGCCCTGGCTACACTGGCCTTGCTCCAAGAGCTGCAATGTTCAGACTCTTTCCATCTAGCATTTCCATCTCAACCCCACTATCCAGCTATCCACTAATTCTTTAGAAATTAAGTCTGATGCCAGTGCTTTAGGGAGTCTGCTTTATGTCCTATAGTAAGTCAGGTCTGCATGGCCTTTTCTGTAAGAATGGTCTATGTTCTTCACTTGGGTGGCTAAACAACAATTACTTAGACAAATGGATATTGCTTTCTGATTTCTCCTCACTCAAACCCTCAGGTTACAATTTCTGAGAAGATAAAATGCTATACATTTTCGTTCTTTTCCACTCTTCTATCGAGACAGTCACCAACATGAAGTGTTGCCTTAAATATTACATTGAGGAATAACTGAATGTCTATCTAAGAGCACAGGATGTTAGTTCATTCTTTGCTTCTGCTACTGTTTTTAAATTTACTGTGGGAAAATTAAGCAATAACTATGAGGCTCATTTTCTCAGCTAAAATGTAATCTCTTTCCACTTCAAATAACCAAGATAAATGATGTAATATATGAAAAATTGCAAAATAATATCTAACTCAATAGCTAATTATATCAGTGACTCTGAGAGAAAGAAAAAGCCTGAAGTACGAAGTTGAGGTGTTTTCCAAGAATGTCATAAGCATCCTCCACTAGCAGAAAAAGTCCTACAACTTTCTGGGTTCTGAGAGGAACAGGAAAACGGTCTGAGGACAGCTGAAGCAGTAGTAGTCGATGATGCGGACCTGAGTTCTGCCTTTCCACAACTGTCCTCACTAATGTCCTCAGTCCACATGTTCTGTGGACAAGCAGTTTATTATTCCAAGCTATCCCAAGGACCTAAGGCTTTCCCTGGCCTCAGAACTGGACCCCAAACTGTTTATGGTGACATTCTTCACCAAGTCGCCAGTGGAAGAAACAAATCTAAAAACAGCTAGACATTGTTCAACTAGAAACGAAGAGCAGGGAGTGCTGCATCTCACCACACTGCCCACACCCATCCACCCATCCACACAACTACTCACTCTTGCCTTGCCACAAATATCATTTGGATTCTCTATCTAACTGACACACTGACTCACTCCTGGCCAGTCCCCTGACTCAGCTGCCACTCTTTTGACCTCATTTGGTTGTTTCTCAGAGAATTCCATGTGGTGAGATCTTCCATCAGCCCGACTCTGAGATCTGCTTTTCCCTTAAAGTATATTTCTTCCAGCCCCAGCCCTCACACCGCTTATCACTCTTTCCAGTGATTTCAGTTCAACCTTACATTTTGGGCCAGCCATTTGCCAGTCAGCAAGTGTTTGTTGACAAATTGAGAGGTCCTGTTAAACCACACTGATCCACCATGTCCTCAGGATTGCTCCAGCAGTCCTTTCTTTTCCAGTCTTACTGTGTTTCTTTCCCCAGCTCTACTCCCAGGATGACCTGTGCTAGGTATCAATTCCATACCATATTGGTTGTCCCCATTAGTTTTCTTGATAGTGAAATTGGCTTATTCTACCTGTCTAGAACACCTACCCAGCTAGGGACCTGGTCCTAAGTTACTCTCCTGGGGTTGCCTCTATATGCCTCCCTGGTCCCGGCTCTTTGCTGATTTATGATTCCATTGCTACTGTGCTTCACTCACAAGGAATCAGGATGTTGTTAGGCTCCCAGACAGTCTTGCTTAAGCTACAGCTTATCCACTATGCCACACGACTCTCTACTAAGTGACCCTTATGTTATCATATTATCTGCTCTCTCTCTCTCTCTCTCTCTCTCTCTCTCTCTCTCTCTCTCTGTGTGTGTGTGTGTGTGTGTGTGTGTGTGCTCGCATGTGCATGTGTACCTGCTGACAGCACACTCTTGTTTCAGGTCATACCCAACTACCAGGCTTTGATGAACCCCTGTAAATCACTGAGAAAACAGAAGCTAAAACCCTCTTTCTGTCTAGTGTGTGCTAAAAAATAAAAAATAAAAATAGAAGAATTTAAAAACAAACAAAAAAACCAAAAGTACAAATTAGACTTTCTTCCTCTTTATCTCTTTCTCCAAGGGTAGTATTCTTTAACTGTTATCTTAAAGAAGACTCCAGCTAATGTTATGAGCACCTACCTTTAAATTGGCTACCAGCCTTTGAAAACCAAATAATTATAAGACCAGGGCCTAGGCAAGAAGATGATGAATTGATAAAAGCTTTTGACAGCATAGCAGTTAGAGCCCATTTTCTTCAGCAGAGAGAGAGAGAGAGAGAGAGAGAGAGAGAGAGAGAGAGAGAGAGAGAGAGAGAGA